CGGCGTCCACCAGAGGAGGCGTCCGGTCACTGATGGGATGAGATGGGCCCCCCGGATTGGATCTGACTGATCGACGTCGATGCCCCCGCGCCACTGCCTTGCGAAGGGCCGGCGGTGGGTGGGCGGGCGGGAGGGAGGGAGGGAAGTGGGAAGCGGAGGGAAGGCGGTCTTGTTCTGCGCACCGGAGGAGTGTACACTCCGGCCAGGGGCAGGGGCCGCCGCTGGGCGAGGGGAAGGGGGGGGGTATATCCGGGAACCAGGCAATCATAATTGCGCCTTGAGGTCTGTGCTCGCTGCTTGTGTTCGGCGTGGAGGGGAGAGGGGCGGTACTCGCTCGCGTCCGTGGCGGCCCAAGGTCGAAGGAGTTGCGCGAAGAAACGCACAGTCTGCTCTCTCGCGCTTGTTTCCAGGGACGTTCGCCTCGCCGTCCCTACCTGCCTCCTGGACTTTGTCCTGAGACTCTGGACAAAAACTTCGTTGTCGAAGTAACTCTGACAGACTGTATCCTGGATCACTGTCCTGTGTCCTGCTGGAACGCCATGTCCTCTTTTGCTGGAACTCCTGGATGAGGCGAGATGGGCCTCTCTGCATATGCTGCCGCGGCGCAGAAGGGGCGATGTCCTTTGGTCTGGAGGACGCCCCGCCGCGCCGCTCCACGCCGCTCCACGCCGCTCCACGCCGCTCCACGCCACGCCGCGGTGCGCTTCCCCCCTCCTCGGTGCGGCACGGTGGGCCCGACTGTATGAAAGGCATATCGGTCCAACTCCCCTCTCCCTTTTCCCTCCCGCGGCTCTCCCGCGCGCGCGCGCGCGCTGCTTCAGTCTCCTCCTGTCTCTCTGCCATGCCCTGCTCCTCTCCCGGATGTGCCGGATGTGTTATTCAGTGACCTTTCACAATACGGCGGTTCGTTTTGTAACGGATTCCGTTACTGATCGACGCCCCCTCTGGCCGTTCGCTCGCTCGTTCGCCCGGTGTGGCCGAGGGAGTGCCGCCGCGCCGCCGCCGGTTCTTTTTGACCCCCTCCCCTCATCAATTTTTTCCTGCGGATAGTCATGCTCTCCCGCCTGACCTTTCCCCGCCCACTCGGCCGGTATTGATGCAGGCGGCGGTCTGCGCGGGGCGGAGGCGCACAGGGTGGGGCTCCCTGCCACCGCTTTCCCATTTCCATTTCCACGTGACTCCCGTGCCGTGTATTTGTTTAAAATCGCCGATATTCGTCTGCATAACGTGCCACGCCGTGTAGTACAATCTCGCGCAGCGGCAGAGACGACGGGACCGTGTTTTCTGGCGCGGGTCGGAAGGCCAGCGTCTTGTCCCGCCAGCCCGACGGGGTGGCCGTGGTCCGTGAGACCCGCACTGCTGGACTGGCTGGCGGGGTCCGGTTGGGTTGGCGGCGGTGGTTCGCGTTACGTATGGCGCCCCGCCCTGCTCTGCCGCGCCCCGCCCCGCCCCGCCGCGCTTTACCCCACCCCTCCGTCGCTGCGGGGCTTTCATCACACCTTCTTACCGCAGCAACGAGAAGGGGGCGGCAGGGGCAGAAGGAAAATGTTTTTTAAAAAAGGGTCGTCAGGGCCAGACAAAAGGGAGGGGAATGGGGCGGTGGGTGGTAAGGGTCACATTCGCGCGCGACGCCGCCGCCGACGTCGCCGAGGAGGGGCTTTTCTTCATGAGCGACTCCTGTGCTCCTCGCTACAGGTCAAGCAGACCTCATCGCCCTCAGCATGATCCTCTTCCCCCTCAAGGTTGCCTCGCTCCTCTTCGCGCCGCCACTCGACGGCCCCCCCGCCGACGTCGCCCTCTTGTGACGAAACAAGACGGCCCGGGCGCGGTGCCCCCCCCCCCCCCCCCCACCCGCCGCACACCTACCACCGGGAGCGCAGGGCCCTCCTAATCCGGTCCACCCGGCGGGCCACGTTCGAAAAAGTGTCGAGCGGTTGCGTGCGAACCGTCTACACCGGCCGTAGGGCAAACTTTTGTACGCGAGCAATTTTTGATGCGGCCGCCCTCCTTTGACTCGCGGCGCCATCTCATTTGCTGACGCGCGGTTTAAAGGACGTCGTCTGGCCCTTGAGACGGGGCGGGGGGGCCTCCGCCCACTTAGACACGAGCCCTCCTCTGATCGCTGACTGCAGACATGCTTTTGTGCCCCGCAGATGGCTGCGCTGCTTTTCGGCGAAGGCCCCCTATCCCCCCCCCCCACCTTTATGGCGCATAGACTGCCGCGCTGCAGAGAACTCTAAGAACGGCGATGATGAGACGCTTCAGGGTGTGGCTTCGTCCGGTTTTCATTTCTGCACCATTGATTATGATGATGATGATGACGACGACGACGACGCCCCCCGCCACCGTGGCCGGCCGTTTGTTTTGCGGTCACCAAGTCTCGACCATGGTCTCGACTTCGGCCCCCTCCCCCCCCCCTCCCTCCCCCAAGCAGCCTGTCGTCATTTTGTGCGTTTTCACTCTGACGGGGGCAGTCAGTCGGAGAGGTATGGCGACAGGGACCGACCTCCGCGTCGAGACGGCGGCTGTCCCTGTCCTTGCCCTGGGTCGGAGAGCTCGGCGAAGCCGGCCGGTCTCGGGGCGTGGCGGGGCGCGGCGGGGCGCGGCGGTGCCGGTCCGTGGCCCCGTGCTGCTCTCCTCTCGCGGCCCCGCCCCACGCCCCGTCCCGCCGTGCGCGCCGCCGCAGGGGCGGATCCGGGCGTTGGTGGTCCCTCATTAAAGGGGGGAGAGGGATTCCGCCGCCTGCTTTGGCCTTTGTGTGGTGCGCGCGCGACGGTGTGAGTGTGCGAGTCCTCCCGCACGATAGTAATCATCTCCTTCCTTCTGCGGCTTCGGCGTGTACCGAGAGATGGGGGAGGGGGGAGAGCTCCCAAATCGCTCCGTCGCGAGAGGGGCCCAACAACAGGCGGGAGGAGGGAGCGCGAGTGGCCCGGTCGGCTGCCCCGCGGGCTGCCTGACTAGCTGGCTGATCTCTGCCCTGGCCCCCTTTGCTGCTCTCTCGTTCTTTCTCTTTATACCTCTCTGCCTTTCTCCCGCCTTTCTCTCTCTCTCGCTCCGTAAAGGCGCGCGCGCGCGCTCTCGGGGCGGCGGCGCCGGCGCCGAATGGTTACACACGTCATTATCGGTCCCGCCCGGGCCCGGGCTGGCGCGCGGCGGGCGCGGCCGTTTGTGCCGAGGAGCGCGCCGCGCGGCCCGGCCCCGGGACCGGTCCGGCAGGTGGGCGGACGGACCAGGACGCCGGCCCGGACACGCGGCGGCGGTGGCGGCCCGGACACGACTCGTGCGCGGCCGACTTTTCTGCCCCCCCCCCCCCGCTTATACATCTTTCCTGCCGCTGAACTGGCGCGCACCTGCCGCCCCTGAGTTATAAAGGGGAGAAGGGGGGGGGGCGTCGCGACGCCTCTCTAGCACGGCCAATTATCGATGTATTTATACGCGTCGTCGATGTTCTTTATGCATGCGCGCCGGCTTGGCCTGCAAATGGAAGGGAGGGAGGTAAGGGGGGGTTTGAGGGGGGTAGGTGCGCGGAAATAGCCCCCCACCCCCTTCCCCCTCCCTCGGCGCCGCACAACGCACCTCCGACCTGTCGGCGGCCAATAGGATTATGGCTCTGCTGCGGAGCTGCGGACGACATCAGCGGTGATGGTGATTGTGCCGGGCGCGGCGGCGGCGGCGGCAGGGGCGGTGGAAGAAGAATTTATCGGAAAATGAGGATCGGAACGAGCTGGGATGGGAGGCAAGGGGAGGAGGGGGTCCCCTAATTTAGCTGGAATTAGTCATGAGGGCCGGCGAGGCCATAGGGCGCCATCGAGGCCCCCCCGGCGCCGCCGCCGCCGTCGTGTGTGCCAAACTTTTTGCTAAGCGCTTTTAGGAGATGTACCGTTATTCGCTTGCTCCGCTGGCTGCTCTGCTGCTCTCCCTCGCGCGGTCGTTGGCTGGCGGGGCCGGCGGCGGCGCCGCGCCGCGTTGGAGCAGCGAAGGGAGGCGGCGGGGAGAGACGCGGCAAATTCAGCCCCCGCCCCGCCCCCTCTCCCGCGCCGCCCGGCCCGGTGGTGGTGTCGGGGATGGATGGCGCTGCACTCTCTGGCGCGGCTCCTTGTGGCTACATTCTATTTCGATCAAAGTCGTCTTTGCGACGCACTTGATGCATGGTGTCCAGGGAGCCGGCGGGCGTGGTCCTATTTACCTTCGCACATACCCGGCTCGGGGGATTAGTCCCCCTCGGGGCTCGGGTCCCGGTCGCGCCGTTTGAAAGGCATTTGTCGCTTTATTAATTTGTTGGTGGTAACGCCCTGCGGGTCGTAACTTTGCCCCCCACCCCTCCCCCTTCTGCCCTCTCACTTTGCAACCCTTTCCCGACCTCCCGCTGTGTCCACCACGGCGTGGGGTGGCGCAGGGGCGGCGCGCAGAGGCCAGTCTGACCCCCCGGGAGCTGCTGGCCCGGGGGGTGGGGTGGGGGGGTGTACAGCAGGAGGCCCTCCAAGGGGCTGCGCGCCGGGACGACGCCCCTGCCTGCAGCTAGGACGCGGCGTCTCACCCCGCCCCCCTCCCCTCGTGACGTGCGGCCTCCCTAATGATTGGCTTGGCAAGCGGGAGGAAGAGAGAGAGAGAAAGAGAACGATGCGCAGTACGCAGTGCAGCAGCCGCTCTCCATGGGCGGAGCTCGCTTGCACGCGGTCTCCAAGTGCAAGTACAGAGGCCGCCGCCGCTATGGTGGGGAGGGTGACTGGGCTCCCCATTCACGGCCCCCAGGGCGCATGTCACGCGCGCGTCACGGGCGCAAGTGGGGCGTGCTCGCGATGGGTCTCTCTCTACTCTCTCACCGCCCCTCCCCCCTCCTCTCTCCCGCAGCGCGCGGTTAGGATTTGAATGCCCGCTTTTGGATTCAGGTCGCTCTCTCACTGGGCCCCGCTGCTCCGCCCCACTTCACCCTGCTGCTGCTACCTGTATATGTACCTCCTGGCCGGCGCTAAAATGCGGACGTTGTTTCTTTGTTGCAGGTGAGCCAAAGACTGGTTGCCCGATCCGACGTCCAGCGGTCGCGAAGAAGGTGGCAGGTGAGTTTTGAGCGGCGAGGGATGGCGGCCCCGCCTCATGGTCCCGGTGGTGGTGGCCAGTCCCGACAGACGGCTCGCGCTCGGGCAAGTTCCGTTGACGCTGTGACGTCCTCCTCTCTTTCTCTCTCTCTCTGCTGGTGCGGGCGTTCCGTTCCCCCGGCGCGGCCCGGCCCGGCCGGGCGTGGCCCGCCCGCCCAGCCGACCTTTGGCTCCCCTCTCTCCCACCCCAAATGCAGTACGGAAGCTGTGGAAATGAACTTGTCAAGACAGCCACCCTTTTCCCCGCCATTCCACGCCTTGTCTGTGAAAAGAGTTTGGCAGTAGCCGTCCCCAAACCCCCCCAATCTCGAGCCTCCTCCTCGCCCGCCCCGCGCGACCCCTCAGTGCCGGCGAGCACGACACGACGACTACGACGGCTAGACGTACTTCACGCGAATGTGGCGCTCGGTATCGAGGTGGCCCGGGAGTGGTGGGAAGGGGGCGTATTCAATTTATGGTGGGTGATTCGTACGGACAAATGGCTCGCCCAGCTGTCGGTCGGCCCGACCAGCCAAAGCCGGGCCTCGCCGGTCACGGCCCAGCCCCCCCCCCCTCTATTAAACTTTGGACGTACCGATTAACGGGCTGCACCATTGTTGTTCGAAGAGAGGCGCGAAGCGGATATTGAAACCAGGCCAAAATACACACACTGCTGACGCATACCAACGCGGCCTCGCGGTCGGCGCTCTGGCCTTCGCGTAATAATTATATGCGGGGGTTGGCGCCCCGTTCCTCCCGCTCCTCGCCACAGCCCGCGATTCAAATCGCAGTAGGGACGGGGTTTGGTTTTTCAGGAAGGGGGGCAGACCGGACGCGGACATACTCGCACCGCGTACCGACCGAACGAATCCAAACCAGACAACCAGACAGGATTGTTGTCGAAAAAGCAAAACTGCTTTCGATAATCGACCCACCAACCGCTGCCACCACCGCTGGCGCCACGGCCACGAGCAAGCGCGTCATTTCGTGGTGGAGCGCGGGGCGCTGGGGCGGGGCCTGGGCGCAATTTGGAAGTGATTTGGTTGGCTTCCGCTCGCAAAGTGAAGATAAATTGACTTAAGTTCGTTCGCCACTCCCCCGCGTTTCGCGCGCGCTTGCGCGTACTTCCCTCGCGCCTTTCTCTCTGTCTCTCTTTCTCCCCCTCCCTCCCTTTGCTAGTCTCCCCGCGCCCGCCTGCCCCTCTCTTCTTTCTCTCTTATCTCATTTCCGAAGGCTCGCTCGGTGTCGTACGGCCGACCTATGACGCCCCCGGAACGACAACCCCCTTTTCGGTAGGAAAGAGTTGCTTCAGAAAGTGACGCCTTGCTGCGACGAGATAGTCATAAATGGGTCGGCTATCGAGCTGTCCCGGCCTCGCCACGCCACGCCACGCCCCGCCACCCCGCCCCCTTAATCTCGGGGGAGATAAGGAGCCTTGGGGGCGACGGCACAGGGCCGGCCCGGACAGTGGTCACCTGACGGGGTAGGGGTGGGAGTGGCCCGCGGAGAGCACTCTGGGGAAGTGGGACTGGAGCCGGGCGGAGCCGGGCCGGTGTGGGCGTAGGGGGAAAGTCGCGGGCGGGGCCGCCGCCGGCCGGTCCAGAGGCTCGCGGGGCGGGGCGCGCGGAGTTTGGCCTCTGGGCGGGGCGGGACAGGCCGGGCGCGCGCGTCTGGCGACGTGTTTTGAAAGTCGCGCTCAAGTGCTTGTCAAAGTGGGGCGCTCAAGACCAAGGCGGGGAATATGGCGTGACGGGCGGGGTGTGGTGGGGTGGGGCTCGCCTCCTTCTCCCGCCGCCGTGTTACCGTGGCAACGATGCTCCCCCCCCCCTTTCCCTCTTAACCCCGAGGGCGCGTCTTTTAAAAAAAAGAGTATGCGGCAGACGGAGTTGTGCAGGAAAACTTTTTTTGTTTTGCAAATCGCTCAACGAAGATAAATCTCTGGGATGGTTTGAGTGTCTGCGTAGTTTGGTATATCTCTTGTTCCTGTCGTGCTTGCTTGCTTGTCGTCGTGGCGCTGCTGCTGCCCCGGGGGCTGACCCTACGCGGGGGTGGGAGAGTGATGCCTTTGTGGGGCCTAACTCGCTCGGTGCCTAGTATTTTTAACGCGTTTGCGCCCTTGGGCTACCTTGTGCTTTTGCGACCCGCTGCACAAAGGGGCGTGGCGGGGC